ACGACAATAATGCCCTTATTTTGAAATTAATTTACATGAACCTACCATTACAATTTTACCCCTAATTAATTAAGTTTTTTCACAATAATGCCCTTGTATTTAAAACAAATTGTAGGCCACCCAAGACCACTGCCGATCGATGTGGCTAGAGCAATGCAGGACCGGCCAAATCTGGCGAATCGTGCGTTGACATGGCCGTTTCTGGCCAGATCTTTGGCCATAGATCTGGCCAGTTCTGACTAGATCTACATAAACAACCATACTAGTTGATTGTGCGTCATTCCGGCGACTTTCGACTGTTGTCTAATGGTGGTGGCCAGTTGCTGACTGTCCTCTTGGGTGGCTAGGGTGCTTTAGTTAATTTTAAACTTTTATTATGGGGGTGTTTAGCTAAATTAACAAATGTAAAGGGTTAAAAAGATAATCTAAAATTATAATAATATTAAAATAGAAAGGCAATTCAGTAATCTATATAACATACCCACCAATTTAATCATCCCAACCAAACATATAAATATAACATACCCACTAACTTATTCCAACCTAACCAAACATATTTCCCTAAATATTCCTAGTGATCTTTAAAGTAATTTATCTTCCTATTAATATAACATTCCCAGTAATACAACATTTCCTGAACTAAACACACCCTAAATATTTATCTTTTTAACTTTTGGCCACCCCATTTGCTAAAGTTGGCACTTTAACCCCATGAGTGCAACTTTATAAATTCTTTTTTTATAGAGTTAACATAGACCTCGTGAGGTTTTTGAAATAACAAAAATCTCCTTACTATTTATGAACGTTAGTGAGCCATTAAAATATAGGGTTAATAACAATTATTCTGTCTAGGTTTAATCCCCTATAGTTAAAGAAATAACATAAACTCCCCTTCTATTAATGTTTTGGTGTTAAAATAAATGACATAGAGGCAATTAAGTAAACATTGATTCACTTATCATGATATAAACTCTAACATACAAATGGTAGGGCAATTTTGATTATTCCTAAAATCTTAGGAGCACTTTGTATTTGATTAAAGCTTAAGGGGCTCAAGAAAACCCTTAAATTTTACGATGTTATGAGTTATTAAATATTATCAAATTACGCTCGTACCATTTATTTTAACACCTAAAACTTAACAGGTGGATTTTTGTTATCTTATCATATCTTAGGAGGATTAATATTATCTCTTTTTTATACTCTAAACTCCTTTAATCCGTGTATATTACACTTTCATTCCCCAAAATAAAAATTCTGGCTCCACCCTAAGGGTTCTTACGATGGTTTCAAGGTGAGGGTGGGGGAAGGATGGCTTAAAATAAATTCATGAAAATAAAGCCCCTATTTGTTACACTATTCTGGATCATTATTTTGTTATCCTGCTTGGATTAAAAAAAAATATATGATATGTGTTTATTTACTTATTGGGTCAATCCAATTTAAAAATTAATCCAACTCAAATAAGATTTTTTGTCTAAAAATGAAAAAAGGGTAGGACTTTTTTTCAAATTATCCAACTCTATTCAACTAAAAACATTTTTCTTTCTCTCCTTCCAATCTGAAAATTAATCCACCTAAGACCACCACCGCCTGCCAGCAACCACTGTCGGTCAACTTGGTCGAAATGGCACACTACTGGCCGGATTTGACCGTTCGTGCATTAATTTGGCCGTTTCCAATCGAATCCACCATGGACCTAGTCGTTAACAACGACTAGAATCTAACTATCAACGGCTAGATTCGGCCATAGATCTAGCTATTTCATACCAAATTCATGATAGATCTAGCCGAAAATGGCCATATCGGTGCACGTCCGACCAGATCCACTTAGTCATGCACCTTTCCAGCAACTTTCATCTACCGTTCGGTGGTGGTGGCCAGTTGTCGGCTGTCCTTTTGGGTGGTTAGGGTGCTTTAGTTAATTTTTAAACTTTTATTCTTAGGGCGTTTAGCTAAATTAACAAATGTAAGGGGTTAAAAATAATCTAAATATTTTCAGAAAATGTTTCAAACAACTATTTTGTCTTAAAAACCTTTTTCAAAAATTGTACCAAACAACTAATTAGCCTTTTATCAAACTCTAATATAATTTTCAGATATTTTATCAAACGCATTTTTATATTCAAATCCAATTCAATTTGATTCAACTCAACTCAACTTAAAACACTTTTTCAAAATAATATTTTTAAAAAATATAACAAACAGGCAATCATTTTAGGATGGGATGTGATTTTAAAGAAATTACAAATAATTATTAATGTAAAGTTACCATGTTATCGACATTTTTTTTTTTTTTTTAAATTGACAATAAAGTATTAACATATAACAAACGAGAGGGGGTCTTGAGTTTTTTTCTGCAACGAGAGGAGATTTATTATAAGGTACATATCTTAGAGGTTTAGAGTAATATTCCCAAGTTTCATATTAATTGATATCATGTATTTGAAAATCATAAGCACATTTGATAAAATCTGAAAAGAAATTATCATACACATCTTCAATAAACTCAAACAAAAGTTTCATCTACATCTTCAAGAAACTCTACACCTTCTAGAAGTCGACCAATTGTTGGAGAACATGAATAGTGAATATTCCCACCTTGATTTAGACCAAAATCACAAAGCTCAAAACTGTGGGCCAAAAGTAGTGTAAACGCAACTGTTCATTATATAATTGTAGCCTCGAACTGGAAAATCAATTCAAAAAGATGCGTAGATGTGACAATTACAATTAATCATATTTTTGTTAGATAATGTTCGTAAGATGAGTAGATGGCTAAATTTACATGCTAAATAACCTGAAGTGACCATTTTTGTGAGTAATTGGGGGATGAAATATTCTTTGACAACTTAATTAATATAGGTAATGGAAATCATTAATTCACTAAACATAAATAGATAGAAAAACATTAATAAAGAAATGAACAAGAACCTTCTTGATGAAGAAATATGAAATATTTGATATTTTTTATATCAAGAGAACATCTGATGTCATCTATTTTGATAAGGTAATAAGCTTTTTTGGAGAAAACTTAAATCTGTTTTAACTTTTGAATCATAATTTTTCATAAATAAAGACAATCTAACATATTTGAACTCATTGCAAGTTTTGCGATTTAGAAAGATGAATGAGACTGAACTTATAGAGTTAAGATAAACTAAATAAATTTTGTTTAGATTTAAATTTTAAATTTAAATCTAAAAACATTCATGTGATTTCACATGTTTGTGACACACTTTTCCATATAACGTTAATCTTTAATTGACAAATGGTGAATTCATGATTCAAATTCTAAGATAAAATTTAATTTCTAACATTCATTTAAATCCAAAATCAATTTCATATTGTTGATGCTTGATTTTGACACCAACGATTCTGCACATATAAAGTGCTAATAAGTCACACATGAGCTAATTATAGTAAATGGGTGAGATATTGTGGACACAGTAGTATGCAAAGATGTAAATATAAAGTTGACAAAATAATTTTTATAGTGGTTCAAATACTTAAAACAAATCTTACATCTACTTTGTTTATTTATATAAATTACTTTCTAATCACTAGATAAACTTACAAGAGGTTACGAATTGTGATCTAGGATTATAGGTGTTTGGTGTTCTAAGTGTTCTTAGAGAATATCAAGTTAGTCTTTTTCTAGTAATGTGTATTTGCTATTTTCTTTGTTGAATGCATGAATGTCTCATCCCGATTTTATGAGGGGGAGTTGCCTATTTATACCCGTTTAGCTCAAGATAATGATCACACTTTTGCAAGTGGCTTGATGCCATGAAGATCCCTCTTGCATTCCCATTCGTTGAGAACTAAAAGAATATTCTTAAATTAAATAGGGTTTGGATAGGTGTGCGAATCAAATTCACCCAAGCACAAATACTTAAGTCGGTTTGGGTCTGTGATAGCTATATTCCTTTTACATGTGGAGACGTGTTATGTTCTGGATAGTAAAATATTTTCCTGGATTCTAATTGGTGCTCGACGTCAGCATAAGTTAGCTCTTATTCTAGGCATAACACATGTGATTTCACGTGTTTATGATACATTTTTTATATAACGTTCATCCTTCTTTGATAAGTGGTGAATTCACGATTAAAATTCTTTGATAAAACTCAAAATTAAGAACTCCTTAAAATGCAAAATATTATAATATGATTTCACATGTTTATGTAGATTTTTCATATGAAAGTTTTATCTCATTTGCTAAAAAAAAAGGTCTTTATAATTTAACCCTATATATAACGCATCTTACTTTTTTAAAAGTAGTCATAAAACTCAATATCTAAAACGTATTGAAAGTTTCAATTTGAGTATGACAAATGGCAGGAGGTCTAGAACTTTTCCGAAAACAAGAGGGGATTTATTAATAAGATATATCTTGAAGGATTTGGAATAAATATTCCCAAATTTCCTAATAATTGAGGCAGTTATTAACAATGTTGCCCTCAAAGTTTAGTCAAATAACAAAAATCTCTTTGAGGTTTCTAAAATAATATAAATCTTTCTGTCATTAAGTTTTTAGTGATAAAATAAATAATAAAAAACGTAATTTTATAAATATTTAGTAATTTATAATACTGCAAAGTTTAACAGTACATTAATGATTCCCTAACAGTAAGGGTTTTATTATTTCAAAAATCTCAAGAAGGTTTTTTTATTACATCAAACCTAATTCTTGTTACTCTAATTGATATGGGGTAGATGAAATAAAACACTAATATAAATAATTTTAGGTTTACAATCTCTTAAAAACCTTAACAATCTCATAAAATCGTATAAAATAAATATTTTTAAGGTGTATTAGTTCTTATCTATTATTGATTTCATGTAAGTGCGATTTGCCATGGAACGTAGAATTTTCTTTATTATATTTACTACTTTCTTTATTATTTATTTTGCTCATAAGAAGTTTCAACATAACAAGAAAATAGATATTGATTTGATTTGATTAAAAAAGTCAAATACCACATTTGATAAAACTGAAAATAAATTATCTTCTACATCTTCAATAAACTCAAACAAAAGTTTCTTCTACATCTTCAAGAAACTCTACACCTTCCGGAAGCTAGCCAATTGTTGAAGAACAGGAATGCTCCCACCTCGATTTCGGCCAAGTTCACAAAGCTCAAAACTATGGGCCAAGGGCGATAATGGACGCAACCGTTCTTCATATAATTAGAACTTCAAACTGCAAATTTAATCCAAAAAGATGATTAGATGCGACGGTTACAATTAATCTCATTTTTGCTAAATAATGTTCAGATGATTATTACCCTTCTCTAGCTTCGAGATGATTTGATGTTGCTTCCTGGCAAGAGCTATAAATTAAACCACAACAATGTATCAATTATTTGGCATGTAAAAAAACCCATAATAAAAATCATTAAACTCACTTAACATAAATTGATCAAAAAACATTGATAAAGAAAGGAATATGAACCTTCTTGACGAAGAAACGTGAAATATTTTTGATATTCTTCATATCAAGAGAGCATCTGATGTGCTCTTGTTTTTCCCATACCATCCATTTCTATAAGGCATCAAGCTTTTTTGATGAAAACTTGAACTTGTTTTAAATTTTGAACCATAATTTTTCACAAATAAAGACATTCTAATATATTTTGAACTCATTGTGAGTTTTGTGGTTTGGGAAGGTGAATGAGATTGAATTTATAGAGAGTTAGGGCGGACTCAACGAGGTATTTAGGCGAACTAAAAGAGGTAACTCATTAAATGAATTTTGTTTAACTTTTAGTTTTGAATTTGAATCTAAAAGCATTCACGTGATTTCACGTGTTTCTGATACACTTTTCATATAAGGTTTATCTTTAATTGAGAAATGTCAAACTTATAATTCAAATTTTCTAACGAAATTCAGAACCTGACACTTGTTGAAATCCAAAATAATGTCACATGGTTTCACATATTTATGATACAGATTTTATATAATGCACATCTGTAATTGACAAGTGATGAATTCATGATTCAGATTCTCTAATAAAGTTCAAAATCTAAAAATAGTATTTTTCATATCACAATAAGATTTTGATCTTAACTCTTTCGAAGTTTATGACATGAATTCACTGCAATGGTTAAATCCAATGTTTTAAAACCCAGCCCAACCAAGCCTGTGTAACCGAGACCCGAAAGCTTCAACGAGTCGGGTTCATATTTTTCCTATTCACCCAAAACCCTAGGATTTAGTAGGATGATCGACAAACAATTGACGGCCGGGATGTTGGGGCTTTTGAAGACAAAGTGTCGATGAATGCAATGGTGGTGACGGAGTTGATTTCCGGTGAGTAAATCGATCGAAAATCGAACAAAACTAGTAGTGGAAACAACTAGCTTTTGCCGGCAATCGGTGAGGCTAACGTGGGTGGGGTGAGGTGGCTTTTGGTCGGGAGGAAGAGGGGAGTAATTTCTAGGTGATGGGGAGGCTGTCGACGTCGACGTCGATGAGATCTGGCCGAAATCGAACCTATTTTGGCTCGATCTTGGGTATATTTTAAGGAGAATGGGCTCAAGGGACGATTGAGGTTGCATCTGGGTTGTCGCCACCACCAACCAGTCGTCGACCGATTTATATTTGGGATGTATTTGCTAAATTTCAAATCTATAAGGACTTAACAAATTTTTAGGGTGTATTTGCTAAATTTTAAAAGTTTTTGTCAATCAGTTTGACCGCCAATCAAACTGGTTAAACTAGTCAACCCGAGACCCGACAACTTTGCTTGGTTTCACCCCGAGTTGGGTTTTAAAACATTGGTTAAATCATAAATACATTGATTAAAAATACTATAATTGTTCGAAAGCTAAGATTTCCAGAAACTATTAAGGGAAATTGATTTTTACTCATTCCATATGTTACGGAATTTTAATTATTTTTTTCCTTTTTTACGAAATTAGTGTTCGGGTCATATTTTCAAAAGTAATGGACTTAAAATGCGGCGTTTGCCATAAAAGGTGAGGAAATTTTCAGATATGCAAGGGAGTGTTGCAGAAGATGATAGAGAAAAGAAAGAAAAACAAAAAAGGTTTCTTCATAAAGAACATATTACTTTTACTTAGACTAAGGGGATTTTTTATACTTTGTTAGAATTGTGAATTAATTTTTCATTAATCAATATCATAGGATATATGTAATAAACCCTTGTATAAACAGTATTAAATATACAATCTCTTCAAGCTTTCATAATATAATAAAATCATATAATATAAGCTGATCACATTTTAATTTTACAAAAAAAAATTGTTGCAAACACAAACTCTTCAAGCCTTGATAAAATTATATAAACTGCTCACCTTGCACCAGAAAGAGAGCGAAAACCAACCGCCGGGAAAGATCAAAAACAATATAAGAAAGCACCCACTGCTCAATTTTACAACAAACATTATTTGTTCCCGCAGAAAATAATTGAACAAACTTTTTGGGAGATCAGTACACCCTAAAACAAATGTTACATTCAAACGATAATTAAAGCATAATGTTTAAAATAAAATAATGAAAAGCAAGGACCTTACTACAGAAACCAAAATTTTGAGAACATCTCCAATGAGAGGCTTTACCACCAAGCAGTTCCCAAGCCATATGATATATTTACGAGATTCATAATAGGAGTTACATATATGGACCTTTACATTAGTCTTAATTCATATTCACCAGCCATTGTTATGTATCTCACCCATGGAAGAGCCTGGTATCCGGATTTTTCAATGATCTTTAAGTATCGAACCTAGTGAAGCCAAATGTTAAATGGGCACATCAGTTGAAGTCAAACTAACATTTACATAGTGAGATACACTATCAAATGAAAAATTCCACGAAACTTCTTCTAAGAAACTTTTCTATCTTAGACGATAGGAGGTAAAATGCATGTCAAAATGAGATAAAACTTTTTGGGTGTGTGAATGAATTAATTTTGATACCTCACCAGAAGGAAAAAGTACGTATTGTAAAATATACTAACAGGGTATAAGGCCAATAATCAGAGTGCATCAATATGCTTGCTGTAAAACAGCATTTAATGTGTAGTTTAGACATGAGCAGGCTTCCAGTACATGCAACACCAACTAGAAACCCATTATGGACCCAACTTCTGATACTGGGGTTTGGTTTAAGAAACTGAGAAAATGATATTGATAAACATACCTGAATCCCTGAGACAGTAAAATATGGTATCTCAAACTTCACACGGATGGGAGCCTTTCTATCAGGAGTTGCTTCTTCAGCTGTTATACTAGGAAGACTAAACTCAGCCCTCAACATATACTCCTACACAATTTCATTGAAAACATGGTTAGAAAAATGTGAGGGAGTCATTAGAACCAAGTAAACATAAGTTGTCAGATATACATGGCATGCTGACATTTAATAGAAACAGCCATAAACCAAATCTTACCCTATTACCCGGGAAAGATTTGATCTTCCAGACCAAAGCATCATTCTCAGGAGCATATGCTGCTGACCCCATTGATGTCCGAACATTAGGATTTGTAGAATCAGATGGGACAGGCAACTCGATTTCAACATTTGTTGCAGTGCTGATGCAGAATCAGTGAATAATTCAGAATAAAACAATGGTCCTCTCAATTTAACTCTACCAAGTTATATATCAAATAGCTGTGCAAAGCAAACAATTCATAGCCCATGCACACCACAGCCCTACCCATTATTTATAGGAAAATAATACAGTCACCGATAGTAGTACACCGAATTTGTGCACCGAATGATGTGGCAAAATCCTGACCGTTGATTAATTTTAACTTAATATTAATCAACAGTCAGAATTTTGCCACGTCATTCGGTGCACTACCGTCGGTGGCTGTAGCATTACTCTTATTTATAATGGAACCGGCCCAAAACAAAAGGATATCACTACAAAAGAAATTTGACCATTAAAATCTTATAGATTCCTGGAAGTGACCCTTCTTGATACACAGCACAAACTAAAAAAGTTATAGACAAGAATCTTTTAAATCCACTGGTCAGTAATTATTTAAACATTTCAAATCTATGTAATAAGTAAATTTGACATCCACTGGTTATTCAGACTAAATCCCCTCTTCAAGAAGTATCTAAAATGTAATAATAGCTTTCGGTTATTGACTAGAAAAGAACAACCTTATGAATGCCATTGACAGGATATTTTCTGAAGAATTCAGAAATATCCCTCCCAAAAAAGGGGGGGGAAAAAAAAAAAAAAAAGAAAAAAAAAAACATTGAGGCCACTAAAATTATTATCTGTTTCTTTCTGTCTCTCAAGTAAATTGGTACTTTCGATTCTGTTACGATAAAAATATTTTACCTGCGCTCCTTAAACTGGCTCCGTGCTTTCACCATAATTTCAATGCGACTTCTAGAATGCTTTTCAACTTGAGCTTCCACCCAAATGAGAGGTTTCACCTGAGAACTCACAAAAATTGAGCTTAGATGCTTCATGTTTGAGAAAATCTAAATACAGTATGATATCATAGTTGGAGTTTTGTGCATAGATGTTATGGAAGGCAACAAACTTGTGGTCTAACTAGCCCATTAAAGGTAAAAAAAAATAATTGAAAATGGCTATTGAAAACATGATAAACCATATGACATTTAAAACATGAGATGAACCTGAGTACTGAGTCTGTATGTCATGAGATCAAAGGATCCATCAGGGGGAATGAAGGATATTGTCCTATCATTTTCAAAGCGAGCCAAGCGTACACACCTAATACAAGATTGATAATAAAAACATTTAGAAATAAAAAATAAGAAATATAATTAGGATAGAAATGATCACTTGAAATACGAGACAACATACTGATGAAACTTGGTATCATCCAGATCAATGGCTTTCCCTTTGGTTGTTCGACCTTGGGCCTCCAATAGTACTCTATCATTTAAGCCGAGTTTGCACTCAGGCATACCACTACAACAAATGAAGCATTGGAACATCAAAGAAAGGTGAAAAAGGACAAAATTTTTGATGAATTACGAATTGGGCAAAAGTCATCCTCGTTACTATAGCAGGAAACCGAAAGAACTTAGGCAAATATATCTTAATAAATTTGCCTGAGCTTAACCCCAACTCAATAATATAGAGCACAAGATACACATCAGAAGTGGCTCCACCTAAACCCAGGGTAGGGTCAGGTAAGGGTCAAGGGATTAACAGCCAGGGTAGCATGGATTGATCTCTAGCCCAGCCCAGTCTGCCCAAATTGCAGCACTAGTTAACATGGACATAGTAATCACTACCATACAGGTTCTCAAATTATAAGATGAGTTGTCATATTTGCAGGTCATAAAGTGTATGAAATAAACCACATGATATTACATAGTTGCATAAGTAACAAATAATTCTTTAAAAAACTCATCCTAAAAACTCTTTGCTTAATCTTAAACGATTAACTCAAACGGAAGATAAGCAAGTACCTCAAATATGTTCTCATCTTTAAAGCTCCTACAACATCTGAACGTATAATTTGCCCATTGCTGTTGACAAGTATATTGACACTTTCCACAACATCCAGAAAAACCTGGTTAAACAAGAATAAAACTTCCGTAAAACATAAAATTCATTTCATTAACAATAAATTGCTAAGAGAGATGACCTACTTCATTTTTCTTATACCGTATCCCTTCACTGCGCCATGATACTGCGTTTGTCACAGCCATGGGAGGACGCTGTGTAACTTCCATCCTATAGGCATCAGTCTTAATAAACTCACTCAGAATCTTAGCCTCAGTGAATTGCGGGAAACCGAAGTCCATTATTTCATCAAGTAACTCGTACTGCCAAATACACAATCATTAGTCTAAAACAATTAAGTGTTTGCTAAACATATATGTCTACATTCATTAGTGAAAAGGAACCATCACATTCTTACCACAACCACAAAATTATCTCTCAAAGATTCCTCTTCTAATTCTTCAAAATAATGTTTAAACACCTGCATATAGAAGAACATTAAGTAAAAGATAAAAATAAAAAATAAAATAAAAAGAAGTCCAAATTTCTATATGATAAAATATAATTTGTTAACAATAAACACAGGAGTAGAAATAATTGAAAAGAGAGCTCTTACATCAACTACACGATGCAAAAATAGCAGAATACTGGCAGCATTGCAATTCTGCCTCGATGCCGCCATCAAGTAAACATTGTTGTGTTGTATAAACATGTATGACACACCACTGTCGTATACCACAGGATCTTGTGACTGTGGATCACCCTGAAGCAGATCAAATTCAAAATTCAGTTGGCAAACTCTGTAATATCAGTCACTACTATCTGTTTCTTAAACCTAAAATAGAAAAACTAAGAATCCACAAAACTCTTCATTGAAACTACATTAGAATGATATTCACCAAGCACAGCAACTGTATATCCATTACAGATCAAGCATACTTTGAGAAATCAATTAAACTGTGTTTCCATTTACAATATATTAATCTCTACACTAAATCGAACGAAGATTCTGTAATAAGCAAAGCTAGACCGATACATATACACATAGTGATATAAATTTGCAAAGAGAGATTCGAATTTCTGACGTCTTTCTCGATAAGCTTGGTGAAGAAGCGCTCGGCTTGAATAGCAGAGACATCGCCGCGATAATCGCGCCAAATCAAGACACGTCCTTTGATGTCAAGAAGGAAAAGCGCCGAGGCGGCGCCAGCCATTTGCTGAGGAGGTTCACCGGCGACCGATCAAGCACGCACCAGATCCGAGTTGCAGATACGAATCTGGATTGACAATCGGAATTCAATAAAGTTATGGGTCACTGGAATTTCTTTATTTCTTTCATTAGTTCTGTTAGAAAATGTTTTTATGGAGTCAATAAACTGTAGTTTCTGCCACGCACGTGCCTCCCAGTTGAGACGAAATATATATAGATATGGGCTTATTTTCTGTTCACAAATATTGAAGCCCATACCCAGTTATGCGTATGGCTGTCTTCTTTTATTACTTTTTCCCTCTCAAAAAAAAAAAAAATAATAATAATAATAATAATAATTTGATTCGGCTGAATTATTTTATATTAAGAAATTATTTCTCTAGAAATTCAGATGTCTCTCTCCCAATTTGGAAGATAAATAAATCATTTACCTCTCGGATTTCGCTTGAAAATATTCCGCCATTTTCACAACTGACTGAAACATTATTGCAATGTTTGGGCCCAATTGGTTGAGCTACGAACTATACAAATGCCAACTTGTCTACAGTCATCTAAAGAAATTCTTACACCCAACACATAATATTTGTTATGAGTTGGGTGTAAATAGTATCAGAGCTTTGGAAGATGGGGGGTGTATGTGTTTATACCTGTTAACTTGTTAAAAATTCTTTGATAGCATGAATAATGGTTCGAATGATGAAGTCTGTATAAATAAGACTTGTTTTCATTTGGATCATGGACTCGAGGTAAAACCGGAGATCGGTTTGTTAAATACTGTCGTAGATAAGTTAGGGCTTTTGACCCAGAAGCTTGAAAACTTAGACAGGAGAGTGAATTATACGGTGTATCGTATATTTGCTCTAAACGAAGAATTAAACCAGATTGAAAATGTTAATTCTGTACTTCAAAAGGTCAAAACACTGGAACGTGTTCTAACTATTTTACTAAGCTGGTAAAATAGGAGATGTCTCTGGTGTTGAGTGACATCGAACAAGTGTGGCCTATTGAAGGATATACTAAACAAGAGGTTAAACGGGTTGTGTTAGACCTCTGTAACGGCAACCCAGATATTCGAGAAGAGTATCTGACTTGGCTAGGTGTAAAGCGACTTTTGGATGTTATTCAAAAGGCTTTTAGTCAAGGGTGCACAAAGATTTTGTGTTTTATTTGTCGGATTTCCACCATTGAAGTCTTTGAGCTAGAACTTCGGAATAAGTGGTTGGAAAAAGCTGAGGCGGTAATTCCTTACTAGTACGGCGAATCCCAGCTAGATCCAGATCCAGATCCTACACCATATAAAGAGTCAGACTTTGCGACTGGGTTGAGACCTGATTCAGATTGATCATGGGTGGTCAGGATGTTTTGGATCAGTTCGCGGCTAGTTTGCAGGAAAAATATCCCGGATTGCCTCCAGGATATGCCCAATTCGTGGCCAAAGAAACCCAAGGTGATTGGAAAAGGCGGAAAAACTCTTTATGAAAGGTGTAAAGGAAGAAGACTTTGTTTCTAAAGTAGATGGAAAACGGAAGGTTGATATTCCAGAAATTTCTACCTCAGATGCTGAACGAATCAGCTGGTATTATGAGGAAGAAATGAAGAAACAAAGGAAAGGAAAAGAAACTGGAGGATTAAAAATTACTCCAGGTCCTAAAAAGGCGGAGCTTGATGAGCTAATCTCGAGACTCAGGGAACCCGAGTTTAAAGATGATCCCCTTGAAGGAATTTGTAATCCTTTAAATTCTTTCGAAAGATTTCTTAAAGAAATCTCCAAACCCGAATACAAACCTACTTATCCTACAAAGGTAAGGTCAGAGTTTGTACCTAGGGGAATACCTAGAATGGTGGAGATACCGTCTAGCGGAAGTTTCCTAAACATCGATTGTGTTACGAATGTAACGGATGCAATCGAAGCATGGGAAACTGTTAACTGGGTTCATATACAAAATAAGAACTTTGGACTCAGTGATACTTATAGGTTTTTAAGATCCACACTGCAAGGAGCTGCATGAAGCTTTTGGAGAAGTCTAGAAACTGGTACGGGTCTGTTAGATACTGTAAAAGACTTGAAGAATAGAGAGGCTATCTTCGCACTCTTCAAGGATATGCTCTATAGAGAATTTACTGGGATAATAATTACCAGTAGGAATCTCGCGGAGGTAGTTGCCTTAGAAGCTTTGACAAAGCTTAGGCTTTGTGACATGTGTCTGTTTAAAAATTTCGTCTGTGAGTATAGACGATATTTTTATCAGTTGCCTGGTGGTACACAGGAAGTCATGAAAAATACTTTCTTTCCTAAGCTTCCCCAAGGATGGGATAAAGTAGCAAACGAGGCGTTTAATCTTCTACTTGAAAAGAATCAGGTTGTTGATTCTTTGGGAGGAAGAATAAAAGCTGTTAGACAACTCGTGAGGACAAGATGTTTGAACGCCAAGCTAAATAAAGACGCTAAAAGACTTGAGTTCAACGAATCTTGTTGTCAAAACTTTGATAGAGTGTAAGGACAGTATGGCTGTGAGTCGAGGGGTTCGACTAAACATCAAGGTTGGAAAAACCATATGAAACAAAAAGGATCGTTCGGTAAAAGGAATTTTAGGCCGAAATGTTTTCGCAATATGGTAAAACGATCTGTTACTAATAAACGGAATCTTCCGGATCATGGAAGGTTTATTAGGCGAACAAGGAAAGGTAGACTTAACTCTAAGGAACGCGGAGCGCGTAAGTTTTGTGCTACCTGCCCATCTGGCAAAAACGCAAAAGATTGTAATTGTTGCTGGATTTGTGGTGACAAAAGTCATTTTGCGGATAAATGCCCTCAGAAGGGAAAGAAGAAGGCAGCGGTAAGATTTTTGGAAATCAACGCGGAAAACCAAACTTCTGAATTTGAGCCAGTTTGGGGATACGAAATTGATTCTGATGATGAAGTTTATGAATTAATTTTGGATTACTCTGATGATTCAGATTCTTCAGAGGATGACTCAAAAGATATGACTTTTGAGGAACAATCTTCAAATCTTCAACGTGTAGGTATATTCATGCAACGGACTAGTAGTCTTAATGAATATCCTAGGAATAGCGGTATTGGTGATGAGGATGATCTTACCCTAATTAGAAATGAGGATGCAAACCCTAACTCAGTAATTAGTTCATCATCTAATTACGAGGATCACTCGGGTAACCCGGATCATTGGGTAATTCTGAGGTTAACACCTAGAGAAGTTTTCGAGAAACGCTCTAAGTGGTTATTCAAAGCGGAAGGCTTGGAAGATGTGCACGAAAAACTTGTTTGTGTAGCTTTGTCTCAGTCTCGAGAAGGTGAATTAATACTCTCGAACGATGAGTGGCTACAAAAGGTTAGAAGTCTTGCCAAACGGGCAAATGGCAAGTATAATTATGTAGAACTTGGTGCTGTACAAATTCGTGTACAAGGACTATAACGTGGAAGAATGAATGTCCCTGTTCAGGTTGCTTTACTGGACAGACGACGGCTTACGTTTAGCAAAGCTTTAGTTGGAGGTTTTCACGCTAATTTAGCTTTGGGGGATGCCTATGGGACGGTTAAACCAGGATATATGGTTAGTCTTACGGATCCAAATCTTAAACAGATTATGGTTCTTCGAATTCATACTTCGGGATTAGAAAACTTAATGGCTTCTAGAGACGGAATAGCAATTCAATATAGGTTGATTTATCGGTTGATAAACTCTGTTAATCCTATACGAATGAACTCCAGTGCCGATACTGAGGTTCATGGCTCGGGACCGGATTCTGACATTCCAATTCGACCTACGATAGTCAATGCTAAGGCTCTTACGTGGCCAAAACGATGGGTTTTAGAATATTCAACTCAGCCCAACATGGTGGAATTAAACCCAAATCGGGGAATTCAAATCCAGGAACTTGATAATGAAGTTGAGGTTACTCTTCCTACGCCTAGAAACTCGGTGGCTCTAGAGCGGAATAAAGAGGCTCAATCTGTTTCAACCTATCATATCAAGGAAAAATATATTGGAAACAGATGACACTGCTAGTGAGGCCGGAAACAGCAGTAGCAGGAAGATTGTTGGGTATAAATCTGTGCAAATTCCAGTATATGAAGACGAAACTCCAAGCACGAAAATGATGATGAGTCATGAAATGCATTGTCATGCAATAGTTCAGGGGACTATTGACACATGCATACGTGCTAAACTGTGTTTTCCAGAATATGAGGAATATACTCTAGATATTGTTGTAGACACAGGAGCAACCAAATGTATTGCAAGGAAGCAATGTTTTCCACAGGAGCTTTGGAAATCATTGGAAAAACCAATCCTAAATACGGTTGCAAATGGAGGTCAAAGTATGATCACGGATGTGGTAGAGAATGTGGTTGTACTGTTAAACGAGAAGAAATTCACTCTAAGGGAAGTCCTAATAGTGGATTACTTAGAGGTAGATTTTATTCTCGGAAATAGCTTTCTGCGAGGTCAAGCAGAAGTTATGTCATTTACTCAGGATAACGACCACATTATCCTTGGAGGACATAAAATCGCTATTCTTGCTAAGCCTGAAGTTTCAAAAATCAAAAACGGTTTTAGACCGGTGAAACTGAGGCAAGAAGTTGATCACATTGTTTTCCAAATTTTGGAAAATGATAGATGGTGGTTGAAAACTTCTGATGCAGAAGAAGTGGATGAGGCTTGTAATGTTTTCTTTCAGAGACTGTATCCTAGTCATCTTATAAACCGGATCGCACTGGATATATCGCAAGAGGTTGACCCCTCTGGTGCATGTCCTGAGAGCAAAGATAAATTCATACATAAGGAAAAAATCTTGAAGATTGAAAACAAAAGCCAAGAGAACTCTTTAAGGATTGAGGAACTTGTAAAATCCTTTAAAGAGGAACTTTCTCCATGCTTTGATGATCAACCATTAAAGTTATGGGAAAGGAACGGTGTTTGTGCTTCACTTGAATTAAAAAGGAAAGATGATAAGATTGTGACCAAATCTTTTTCTTATACTCCCGATGCAGAGGAGGAATTCAGTAAGCAAATACTAGAATTGCTGGAAAAGTAATTGATACGCGCCAACAAATGTCCACACTCTTCGCCAGCATTCATGGTCATAAATAGAGCTGAGCAATTAAGAGGAAAAGCGTGGATGGTCATCGATTATAGGC